GGATTTAGGCCGCGGTGGAGGGAGCCAAGCGGTAGGTGCCCAGGTCCCACTTGCCCCCCCATCGTTGCTCTCCCTGCCACACAGCTCCCCCCACCTCCATCCCCAGTGCCAGCTCAGGCCCCTCAGCTGTCACGGTTTAGCCCTGGAATGACAGGCCTCCGGACTCCGTGAGTCTAGCCGCGTTCAAGGCCGAAGGGCTTAGCACCCCTGGGTCCCTGCCCGCCTCCCTCTGCCCCTACTCGCTAATTTTATTGACCCCTAAAAAGCACGTTGCTGGCAGGAGAGGTAACTGAAGGCTAAGGCTGGAACTGGAACCTCACCCTCCATAGAAGAAAGGTCACTGAGGCAGGAAGATGCTGGGAGCCGCACAGTGCTTGATCTGCCTCTACCCTGAGGCAGGCCCAAGGATGTAGCAGGAAGGAAGGAGGTGAGATGGCAGGAAGGACTGCCATTCTGCCCTCAAATCTCTGCCCTATCCCCCCTCCCCCTTGAAGGTGACTCCTGCCTGCTGGGTCTCTGACTACAGAAATAGCCCTTTCCCTGAAGAATCAACCTAGATCTTGCCTTTTTCTTTCTTGTTAAAATGAGAACAAAAAATTCAGGCCTTTATAACTTCCTCCACCCCCATGTCTACCGGAGCTGCACCCCACACTTCCTGGACCTCAGCCTCTCCCAGCACAGGAAGAAGATCTGGGGGTCAGGGAAAGATGGAGACGGTTATATAGGCTGAAGCCCATTATAGGGCAGAGAGGGTAGGAAGGCTTTGCCTTCTCGGTGACTCAAATTTAGGGCTTTGACAATCTCTTCAAACAAGGTTACATGATAGCCCCAAAGAGGGGTGCTCAAAAAAAGCAAGCCTTCGTATTAAAAATGCTCTACAAAGCAGAGGGGTAGGGAGGGCTGGGAAGACATTGCCATGGGAATGACGAAACTTTACACTATAAATATGAACAGTTTTTGTCAGCTGTACCTCGCTGGATATTTTAAAAATACCATAATTTGGGGGCCCTCCCTGATGGCACAAGGGGTTAAAGCGCAGCATTATGAAGCTGTCCACAGCCACTGCAGCAGAAGTTTAGTGACCTGCATGGAGCAGCAGACCTCTCCTGACCTGCCCGCTGCTCCCCTCAGCAGTGTACTTTGTCGATCTGCCTGTTCTGCTCCCCACTCTGTCTCTGGTGAATCCTCTCACCCCTTGCACCTCTGGCCTGTACCCCAGTTCTTGTATGCATAAATAAACAAATCTTCCAAAAATTAAATTAAAAATACTATAATTACATCAATTTTCCTTTTGTTTTATTTTTAATTTATGAGGAGCCTCAAAAAATAGAAGTGGTCTTGGCAGGGAAGGAAAGCTGAGGGGATTCCTGACATAGTCCAGGAGGTTGAGTCTTTACCCCACCGCCACTCACACAAAGTATCTGAGTGTGAGAAGGGTCTGGGTTGAGCTGTGGCCTTCCAGCTGCCTCCTCAGTGTGGAAGTCCACCCAGCCTAGGAGTCTCAGTTCCCTCCCGGTGGCTGGTCAGCACTCTGCTGGCAGCTGATGACTCAGGCAGGAGGGGCCTGGACCCAGGCTCGGCTCAGGGGAGAGTATGGCTGCGGTGGATTCTCCTGCCCCCTGCAGCCTGGTCCAGGTACTGCAACAGCAACGTGGTCAGTCCAAGAAGCCAGGGACTTGCTGGGCACAGTACTGCACATAGTTGAAGTCAGGCACAGAGAAGGGCACGCGGGACCACTGCCTGGCCTGGATTCGTCCTCGAGGTGTGTCCAGAAGCATGCTGCGGACTTTGAGTGCTGGAAGTTTCACTGATTTGTAGATCATCTGCAGACCCCAGACCTGGAGTGGAAAGAGACAACTAGGTCTAGATTTCTGCCTGGGTCTGGACTTCACTTCTCAGGCTGGGGTTCTTTGTCATGCAAGTAAAGTCTGAGGGGTCTCCCACCTCACACTGACAGCTATATCCCCCATTACATTGTGGGCTCCCTGAGATGGGGTAGAGCACCACCCTCAGCTGAGGACTGCTAGAGACTGGCGTTGAGGGCTCTGGCCAATCACTTACCTCCCCACAGTTCTTACAGCTAATTGCACCCCCAGGATGCCAGTCCTTGAAGTCTCTGCCAATGTTCACGGGCTGCGTGGAGACGTTATAGTAGATCCTGGAGAGAATGGAAGAGACCATAGCCCTCAGAGACCCCTGCACCTCTCCCTAGCCCCCGGTCTCACACCCTCCTGCTTGCTGAGACTTCTTCCTGGCCCTTGGGCCTGCCTGCACAGGGCTGGGAGATTCAATACGCTCTGCCCGTGCCATCTGTGTTTCACTCCCTTCTGCCCAAATTCAAACCTAGCACTGCCCACCGGCGTGATTTCAAGTTTCCCTGTGGATCTCCCTGCCCTGAGAGTGATCTAAACACCAAAATCTGACCTTAGCATCCCTTTGTTCAAAATTCACCACCTACTGTGTAAACTTCTGCCCTGACCTTCCTCTGCTCCACACGTTCATAGAACCTAGTCCTTCATGGCTTCTTCCTCTCAGGTCCTCAAGACTTACTCCTGTTGCCTCATTTTCCATCTTCATCTTCTCACATTCTAGAGCAATAATCCTTCCTTCAAGGCCTGATGGAAATGCTCTCTTCAAGTGAGAGCACCTGCATGGCAACCCCTGGCACTGTGCCCTGGCACAGGTTGGTGTCTAAGAATTGCTTACTGAGTGAATGATGGAGGACAGGCAGCTCCTCTGTGAGGGCAGAGGAAAAGGAGATGACCTAGGGGCGACCAGAGTGGGTAGGACCAGGGACCAGTTTGTAGCCCTTTGGCGTGGCCCTGAACCCTCGCTCTTGCTCAACCAGGTAGTGGCTGCCAGGCTCGGGCCAGTCACAGCCTCGCTTGAGCCTCTACTTCCTCACCTGTAAAATGGGGTGATGACAAAAACCAGTCTAACTAGCCCTTTTAACCTCCCCAGCTCTCAAAGTGCTGTCTGGATGCTTCTCAGTCCCTCACACCCCCGCATCCTGACCACACATTCCACAGGTCTTACGAGAAGTTGGGGTTCACGTTGACGTGGTGCGCGCGCTCCACCTTCTGCAGGTCGCTCCCGTGGCCCACGGCCTCCATGCAGTTGACACAGAGGAGCCGCACGCACTCCGCGGGGAACTGCTGCTGTCGCCGCTCTCGGTCGGCAGCCTGGGCTGCCCGCTTCCCCAGGGCCGCCAGCTGCAGGTCCCGGATCTGGCGGGAGGGACACCAGGCCGGGGCAGGCTGGAGTCAAGGGCCCTGAGCCCAGGGACGCTCCCGGGGACAGAGGGAGCTGCTGGAAACAGCCCTGGGTGTGAAGATGATATTGGTGCTGGCCCAGTGGTGGGGGTGGGGAGATTCTCACAGAACCCCTCTTCTCTCTTTGGAGGCTTTCATGCAAAGCTGTGTCTTTGCTTTTAGTGGCAAGCTGAAGGAGGTGCATACACATGTTAATTTTCAGTACTGGGCACCTCAAAATTGTGTCATAATATTTCTCTAATAGAAAGATAAAATGAAGTCCAGTTTTTAAAAGTTGCCTTGAATAGAACATTAACATCGCTAGTCGTTATGCTGGGAAAGTGGGGTACCCAGAACCATCCAGGACAAGGCTGGAGGACAGTGACCCTGGGCAATGGGGGGCTGATTCGGTCCTGGGTGGAGGAGTGGGGGACAGGAGTGCCCGTGGGTGCAGGTGGGCTTTCCCGGCAGTGTCCTCAGCACCCCCCCAGCCCTGCAGGTCTGCAGGCTGCCCACAGACCTTGGCCTGGTATTTGGCTGGGTCCATGTCCTGCACCACGGCCACTGCCTGCTCCATCAGCTTCTCCAGGGCCTCGTTGGTCTGTTCCCGCTGCAGCTCCCGGCTGCCCTCATTTGCCACAAAGGAGTAAATGCTCTGATCAGCCCGTGCCCTGCCCCTGGCCTGGAAAGAGAAATAGGGGGGGGGAGGGCGTGAGGGGTTGGGGTTCCACCCAGGATCCTTCAGGGCTGTCAGGGACAGGGGTAGAGTGGACGGAGGGGCTGGGCACCTGGACCATGGAGATTTCGTTGCTCAGCAGCCCGTAGCGCACCACCACGCTGCAGCCGGGGATGTCCAGGCCCTCCTCTGCCACACTCGTGGCCACCAGAAGGTTCAGGGTGCCCTCCCGGAATTCCCGGATCACCTCTTGCTGGTCCTTCTGTTGTGGGGGGAGGGGGAACCGATATAGAAAGGAGGTGATAGGTGTGTGGGTTCTGCCCACCCTCCCTCCAGTGCAGCCTCCCAGGCCTTTCACTCAGACTTGCTCCTTCTCCCTCAGAAACCTGAGTCCCCACCTTCCTCTCCTGAATCCTCAGGATTTTGGGCCCTCCCTGGTGGCACAACGGGTTAAAGGGTTAAAGCACATCACTGCAAAGGTCGCTGCAGCCGTTCCAGCACCAGTTTGATCCCCAGCCAGGGATCGACCCACGTAGCGTGGCAGACCTCTCCTGACCCGCCTGCTGCTCCAGGCGGTGTGTTTCGGTCAATCTGCCTGTTCTGCTCCCCGCTCTGTCTCTGGTGAACGCTCCCACTGCCCCTGTGCCCCAGTTCTGTATGCATAAAAAAATAATAAATCTTAAAAAAAATCCTCAGGATTTTCCCAACCCCCAGTTGCTGCTCCTTCAGTTTAAGAATCCCCAGGACCCCTTTTCCCTCAGGGAGCCTCAGGCCTTTGATACCAATCTTGAGGATCTATATGATCTATATCATTCACCTCTTTCCTCAGAGACATTAGAGACCATGCCCCCCAAACTGGGGGTTTCAGGGCCCACTTCTGTCCCCAAGCTCTCTGCTCCTCTGGCTGATACCCCATCCCTGCCCCCACCTCTGCATGCTAAAGACCCCGTTCCCTCCCCTGACAATCTCTCAGCCTCAGAACCTGGCCTGGAAGCCCACACCTGGGTCATGTGGGTGCTCTGGCTGGTGTTCCCAGCCCCGATCAGCAGCTTGGCCCTGATGTCCATGCTCCGCAGCTTGGGGTGTTGCTGGAGCCAGAGCAGCAAGGAGAAAGCATTCTGGCGTGTCCGGGTGAAAATGATGCCCCGGTGACTGTCAGGGCATCTGAACTGCTCCTGCAGGATCTGTTCCAGCATTTCCAGTTTGGGGTTCTCTGGACCCTGAGCTGCCAGTTGAGTCAGTTTGTTCTTGTGGTCTGTAAAAAAGCCCAAAGCTAAAGCACAGGGCTCAGGGCTGGAAGAGGGCCTGGCCGGGCTGGGGCTGGAGGTGTGCTGTGAGCTCACAGGGGCTGTGAGCTCATGGGGAGAGGCCTGAAGGGAGAGGACCTGGAGTACCCGCTCCTGCCAAACAGCCCCCCGCCACACTTCAACACTCCGCCAGGCCAGCCTCAAGGCAGCGGGCCTTACAGCAGGAGCCCCGGGCGAGTCCTTGCCCACATGCCTCGCCCCGCACCCTCTTCTCCCAGCTGCCTCATGCTGACCTCTCCCCAGGACAGATTTAACCTCAGGTCTTGCTCCCCAACTTTTGCTGAAGCCTCCAGCTTTGAATCTCATCTTCTGACAACCTCACTTTAAGGGTCTCATCAGTGACAGTTCCAACTAAATGCTTTGGAAGAAAAAACAAAACACCTCCTTGCTGGGCTTCTCTGTGGTGCAAGGGTTTAAGTCTCAGCAGGATGCCGCTATCGGCAGCCACTTTTGATCCCAGGGAGCCATGAGCTGACCCACAGGGCACCTCCTGTCTCGTCTGCTGCTCCCCTCAGCAGTGTATTTCAGTAGATCCACCTGTTCTGCTCCCCACTCTATCTCCTCTTACCCCTACACCTCTGGCCTGCACCCCAGCTTTTTTTTTTTTCAAAGATTTATTTATTTATTTATTAGTACAGAACTGGGGTACAGGTCAGAGATGCGGAGGGTGAGAGGGTTCACCAGAGACAGAGTGGGGAGCAGAACAGGCAGATCGACGAAGTACACTGCTGAGGGGAGCAGCGGGCGGGTCAGGAGAGGTCTGCCACGCCATGTGGTCACCTCCGGGGCAGGCGAGGATCGAACTCATGCGGAAGCGGCTCGATTCTCAGTGCTGTGCTTTAACCTGCTGCGCCACCAGGGAGGGCCTGCACCCCAGCTTTTTTATGCATAAGTAAATAAAGTACCTCTTTGCTGGCAGCTTCATTTGTATGTCTGCAAACCTTCTCAATGCTCAGACATAGAAATGTTCATAAAATTGGGGTGCACTGGCCCTCCCTGGTGGCACAGCGGTTAAAGCACAGCACAGAGAAGCTAAAGCCACTTCCGCATGAGTTCGATCCCCGCCTGCCCTGGAGGTGACCACATGGCGTGGCAGACCTCTCCTGACCCGCCCGCTGCTCCCCTCAGCAGTGTACTTCGTCCATCTGCCTGTTCTGCTTCCCCTCTGTCTCTGGTGAATCCTCTCACCGCCCCTGAGCCTCTGGCCTGCACCCCAGTTCTGTATGCACAAATAAATAAATCTTTAAAAAAAATTGGGGTGCACAGAATGAGGACATACATCTTTTGTCATGATCTTGACTTTCGGTGAGAAACAGGGTCCCACTAAGCTGTGTGCCCCCCCCCACCCTGCTTTGGTGCCTGGGCCCTGCAGACGGTTTCCCCTGCTGCCTCTCACCGTCGAACAGCGCCAGCAGCCAGCGCTCAGCACGCAGGATGTGGGCCTTGGTGGCACGCTCCTGGTCGTAGAAATCCTGGAGCAGCGCCAGGGCGTCCGCGGAGCGCACAGTGTCGTGGATGAGCAGCGCGTCGTTGTAACGCCGCAGGTGAAGTGCGTAGACACGCCGCTCCTGGTGGCCGGCCTCGGCCGCTGCGGACAGCCAAGGGGCACAGGGTCGGAGAGGCCCCCTCTAGCCCTGAGGTCATCTGGGGGAGTTTGGTGGGGGCTGACGGTAGGGAGGGTGTGTGGAGTACTGGAAGTTTTGGGGGATTGGTGGGAGGAGGGGGAGATGGGGGGGCCCCTTCATGCCCAGACTTGGTTGCCCGGAAAAGCCCCCACGTCCCACCTGCCCGGCCCTCTCACCCGCTCGGCTCAGTCCCACCACCTGCCCCTCATAGGCCTGGGTCCCGAAGGTCCGACTCAGCTCAGGCATGTCCAGCTGGTCATGGACTTGGTCCATGATGTTCTTAATCATGTCCCCGAACGGGTCCTGGAGGAAGAGAGTGAGGGGACCCCCAACCACACCCTGAATGTGCGCCCAGAGGGCCAGGTGCCCCCACGCCCAGTGATCTCTGCCCGGCTACCCCGTCCCTCCTTGCCCTGCCACGGTGGCATGGAGCGCAGCGAGCTCCAGAGGAAGGTGACGGAGGAGAGGCTGGAGGCAGAGGTCTCGCCTGCACTTGACTCCTGCCCTGTCTCCACCCCTACGTGTCCTTGACCTCTGACCTGAGGTTAGTAACAGCCCCGCCACAGCAGACACCAGGCAGTGTCCACAGGAGCTGGAAGAGCCTCAGGACAAAGTGACCGCGCATTTTGGTTTGCAAAGCACTGGCCGTCGTAGACAGATGCCCACGGTGGAGGCAACAAAGCAGGCTGTGGGCACAGACCGTATCGCAGGGAGGGCAGTGCAGGCTGGATACGCGAGGAAGCAACCTGGAGTCCCTGCTCGTGAGCAGGAGGTCGGGGCGCAACCCCCAGGGGCTCGCACTTCAGCCCTTCCCTGCCCTGGCCCATACCTGGCCGCGCTTCTGGCAGAGGTCATACTGCTTGGTGGGCTGGTGGCTGTACTCCTGCAGCTGCGGAAGGCTGTCCTTGGGGGACATGATCCGCCACGTGTCCAGGTTGGCACAGAGCTGTGGCCACGGAAAAGGGCTCACTGGGGTGACGGTGTGGGCCCTGGGGGCAACGTGGGGAGCTTTGGGACAGGGCGGGTCCCTGCCAGGAGAGGAGAGCCTGAGGCAGGGCCCGGGGAGTCTGGCAGACTGGGGGGAGGGAACTGGGCTGTCCCTGCTGGTGTGTGTGTGGGGGGGTCACAGGCGCCAAGCTGACCTGCAGGATGTGGTTGATGGCCCCGCTGAGCACGGAGGCCCCGCCCGTGCCGGGCGAGGCGGTGAGGCCCAGCACCTGGGGCAGGGGCTTCCTCCTCTGGAGTTTATGCTCGAGGTACTGGCTCAGGATGACGTTGTAGACAGTGTCCTTGTGTGTGTGGTGACACTCGTCCACCACGAGCAGGGAGAAGGCTGGGGTACAGGAGAGGACTGTGACTTGCACGCAAAGCCCTCGGCCCTCCTGCTGTCTCATGCAGTCCCTGCAGCCCATCACAGTTTGTAGCCAGGGCCCTGAGAAAGGGCCAGGTGGGGATGATCTAGCCCATCGGATGGGGTAGTAAACTGAGGCTCAGCTGGGAAAGGCACTGGCCCGGGATCCTGCACTGCCGCCAGGTCTGTTTCTACTCGAATGCGTGCGGGGGTGCGGCGAGGGTGCCTGGGTCCCCCAGATTCCCCAGCACCTTTACCAGAAGCGTGCCGGGACGGGCAGGCGGCCGCCCTCAGCTGTGCGGACCCTGCCCACAGCCTCACCACTGAGCTCCACGTGCTCCTCCTCCTGGGGGCTGCCCAGCGCCATGTGCAGCAGCTCGGCGGTGCAGATGATCAGGTCGTGTGCCCTGGCCAGGTAGGCAAAGCCAGCTCGCAGCCCCATGTCCCCACTCAGGGCAGTGATGGCCCAGCGGCTGCCCAGCATGCGGCGGAACTCCTCGCGGTGCTGGGTCACCAAGTGCACCTGGGAGCGGAGGGGCAGCAGTGGGCGGGGTGGGGGCGGGGTGGAGCCGCAGAGGGGAAGGGAGGACCGGCTGGTGGCCTGGCCAAGGCCAGTCACTGGGAGGCACCGCAAGAGCGGAGGTCTGGCGAGGGAGGAGGCCACTCACCCTGTTGACCAGTACAACCACCTTGGCTCCCTGCACAGTCTCCAGGTGTCTCTTGGTCACGTAAGCAGCTGCTCGGGTCTTCCCCGTGCCCGTGGGCAGCCAGATGATGATGTTCTTGCCTTCCAGGGCAGGCATGATCACCTCCCACTGGTAGGGTCGCAGCTCCATTCTAGGAAGGGCAGGGGCCTCAGACCCTGGTCCCCCCCCACCTCCCCCCCAGGGCTGGGGGCTCAGCCCCCCCTCACTCCCAGCCATAGCCCCCCTCGGAGCTAACATCCTCTGCCCTCTCCCTGCTAGCTGGAGAAACTGCCGTTGCTGGGGGTTCCTTGCCGCTGGAGGAAGGACAGGGCATCAGAGGCACTGGCCAGGGCCCTGATCTGGCGGCAGCCAAGACAGGAGTGACATAAACTACTGTACCTGCTGCAGGTGGCCTGCCGCCGCCAGAGCCCCTGTGTGCTGAACCTGCCGCTCCGCTCCGGGCCGCTGGGCTTGGCTGAGATGGGAAACGGAAACTGAAACCAAGGGGAGGAGCCAGCCCAGTGTACATTATGACCTTAGGAATGCCCCTTCTCCAGTCAGAAACCAGAATCGCTGACACAAGACACCCCTTCTGTTGGGTCCTACTAGAATGCCAGTTACTCTCCCCTTTCCCCAGCCCCCCACTGGGGCAGCCAGTTGCTAGGCAGGTCCCACACGGGCACCAGATTAGGCAGGAATGAGGTGGGGTGGCACCCCCCCACAACCCTGAAAAGTCACGGGGTCTAGCTTGTGGGAAGTGTGGGGCGCAGGGGTGCCTGCCAGTTGGGGGCTCTAAGGAAGAAAGGATCACACAGAGGAAAAAAAAAAAGAGCTTTATTGTTCCCTCCAAGGGATTAATGCCAGGAAACAAATGGTCCCCGTGTCCCCCACCTCTGGGGCGACAGACCAACAGAACAGTGCAGGGTGAGGCACGGCCCCTCCTCTCGGGGCTGCACTTTCAGCCCCTGAAGCTGCAGTAGGCAACCCTGCCCTTGAGGAAGCAGCTGCCCAGCCGGCCGGGCTCCCGGACTCCGTAGCTGTGGGGGCCAGCGGTGAGGGCATCTCTGGGTTCACCCTCTGGCCCAGCACTCAGGACCCAGGAAACAGCTCCCCAAGGTCAGACACAAGGGTGGGACAGAGCTGCAGACTGGGGGGCGGGGCGCCAGGGGTCAGAGAGGGTCACAGAGCCCTGGGGAGGCCGAGGCGGAGGCCATTCCGCGTGGAGGCTGAGGTCCAAAGCCACCCCTACTTGTCGATGAGCCCCCCCTCCTTGAGCTTGAAGTAGAAGAACTTCTCCAGGGCGCTGGCGCAGCGGCAGTACTCGCTGTCGGGGGGGTTGTACTCGCGGCAGTTGGCGATGACCCGCTGCAGGTCGGCCACGAAGAGCTTCCGGGTGACGTAGTAGCGGCTCCGCAGCCGCTCCGTCATGGTCTTCAGGTCTGGGGCGGCAGAGGGGGCCGTCAGGGCGGGGACAGCCCTGGCTGCCCGTGGTGGGACACGGGGCGGCGGGGTCCCCCGCCCCAGGGGCAGCAGGAAGGCGGGGGCGGAGCATCCTCACCGATGGGGAAGCGGATGACCTCGTAGTAGTCCGGGGCCTCTGACTTCTTCACAGGCTCCATGAAGGGCCAGGCACTGGGGTGCGACTGGAGAGGAGAAGCGCCTTCGGGTCGGGCCCCCGTGCCCCGAGCCCGGCTCAGGCCTGCCACTTGCCACCCGCCCGACTGGGACCTGCAGCCATAGCTACCGATCAGGGACCCCCGAAGGGAACCTGGTCTCCTCACCTTGATCTGGGCCAGCAGGTTTTTGAGGGTTGTATAGAGCTGGTCAGGGTCCTTCAGCTCCTTCCTGGGGTGAAAGATGTCAAGGCTGAGGGTCCTGGGCCCCGTGCCTCCCCAGCTCCCCCTCCCTCCATTCAACACTCACCCCTTCTCCTTCCCCAGAGGCTTCCAGCCTGTCTCTCCTGCAAAGCGGGCAGTAAGGAGAACATGACTAAGAATGCCTGTCCACACCCCAAGCAGGGCGCACCTCCCCCAAGACCCCTGCTCACGAATGCCGGGGACGCTCTCCACAGGGATCTGCCTCACACCCTCCTTGAAGCAGCTGAGCCCAGGGTAGACCTTTCGGATCTGAGCCTGCTTGCGCTCAATCAGCTTCTTGATGATCTGAGGGGAGGGCCTGGGGGGTCAACTCCAGCCCAGGAACAAGCCTGACCCCCAGCCACTGAGTCCAGGCACCTCCCCACCCAGCTCCAAGAGGCAGCGCAAGAACCGAGACCCCGGCCACCCCGCGCTGACGCCCACACGTGCTCAGCCCCGCGCACGTCGCAAAAAGCCCCTGACAAGGTGCGCAAGACACCGCACACACAACCTCCTTCTGCTTCTTGATGATATGGGACAGCTCCGTGTAGGGGATCCGAGGGTTCAGTTCGCACTCCATCAGCGTCGCGCCCTCATAGTCCTTAATGTAGCCCAGGTATCGGCTCTTGGGCACCTTGATGTCCTTGGAGAAGCCCTAGGGAGCGGCACCAAGGCCCAGTCAGTGGGCCCGTCCGATGCCTCTGGCGCGCCTGCCCTCCCCGGCACACGTCCCCTCTGCAGGTTCCCAGCACAGGGCTCTGCGTTGTGTGGACTCAGTCAGCTCAGCTCACCCCGGGAGCCTCCCGATCCTGGCATTCCTGCTGCCTTCTCGACCCAGATCTTCACTCGGGCAGAGAGGAAGGCAGGCATGAGGCACTTCTCCACAGTGGGAGATGGAACAGCAGACCCACACCAGGGGGTTACCGGCATGACCCCCAACACCCAGCAGGCAGGTGTGGGGTGCGGCAAGGGTCACCTGTTTTTTGAAGTAGCCAATGGCGTACTCGTCGGCATAGGTGAGGAAGTAGAGAATGTTGTGTTTGATGTGATACTCCTTCAGGTGGTTCATCAGGTGAGTCCCATAGCCCTGTGGGGGAGGTGAGCAGGTGGGCGTGGCGCCGGCAGGTGAGAAGGCAGGTGAGAAGAGGGGGCGGGCTGCCGCATGGGCCGAGTCAAGGGGTCCAGGGCAGGCAGGAGGGAGGGGGCGTACGGGGAGAAGAGCGAAGGCTGCTGGTCTCTTAGGTGCTTACTGTGGGTCAGGTGCCAGGGACAGTGCCTTAGACCAGTTCTCATGAGGCAGGTACTATTACCTTCATGTCACAAAAGGAAAAACTGAAACTCAGCCATGTAGGAAACGTACTCAAGGCCAGGCGGCCAGCCAGGCGGGGCAGGGCCCAAAGCCCATCAGAAAGCTGCCGGCCTCCAGGCTCGGAAGTGGGCAGAAGGGGACGGCAAGGGGGCTGCTCGTCACAGCCTCTGAACCCTGAGGAGACACGCTGCCTCTGACACCTGTCTGGGCCGGGAGGCACCATTCAGATCTGGGTTATGTCAACAGGAGAACCCGGGGATGGCAGGTGGAATGTGCTGGAAGGACAGAACCAGGACTAGCACCCGGCGGGGGTGCTAAATCTACTCCCCGTGGTATGGGAGCTTTCTGAGATGAAGGAAACTCAGGTCTGTTTAAACGTGTCGCTGACTCCTGGGCCCCCTTGGCAACAGGTGTGTTCTCATCCCTCAGCCATACAAGTCCAAGTGCCACCTAGCGGGGACGTGAGGAACTGCGAGGCCACCGAAGAAGCGGGGGCATGAAGGTCCCCTCCTCTCTGACTGGTCCACACTGAGAAGTGGGGGGTGCCGGGACTGGGGGCACGCGCTCACCTTGACCTGCTCATTTGAGGTGACAGCACAGAAGACGATCTCTGTGAAACCCTGGGTAGGAAACATGCGGAAGCAGATCCCACCGATGACCCGCCCGTCCTTGATCAAGGCCAGAGTCTTGTGCTTCCTGAGGGGAAGGAGACAGAGTTCTGACTTGTACCCCAAATGCTCTTGAAGGACCCTCAGCCCTGGAGGCCTGAGCAGCATTCAGTGCTGGGAACCAAGAAGCAAGAGTCCTCAGAGGCGGCAGAAGAGGCAGGAGGGTGGGGAGGCCAAGGAGGAGAACCCCTGCGAGTGGGCCCAGGGTCGGGGTGCTCCTGGGGACGCACGGGTCAAAGACGAGGCGGGCGATATACTCCTTGGGCATGCGCGGCAGCTGATGGGAGAAGACGTTCTGCAGCCCCACAAGCCAGAGCAGCACCCGCCGGTTGGCCTTGGGCGTCAGCGAGTTGCCGATGACGTGGAACTCGATGATGCCGCGCCGCTCCTCCAGGCGGGCTGTCTCATCCCGGGCTGCGTTCGCCGACAGCAGGCTGGTCTGGGTGCCAGAGGAGGGGAGGTGAGCCAGGTCTCAGTGGATGCGGCCCCCCCCACGGGTCAGCAAGCCGGGCGGCCCACCTCGGGCCCCAGCATGGCAGCCGGGTCCGTGATGGTGAGCATGACCTCGTTGACCAGCTCCATGGGAATGTCGCCCATCACACGGAGTCGCTTGGCATCTTCCAGGGTCAGGTTCTCAGGCAATTTCCTCTTCTCACCTACTGGGGAGGTGGACAGGGTCTCCCAAGGATAGGAAGAAGCCGGGGGAGGGGTGAATGAGGTCAGAGGTCAAGTACCCACCTGGCATAGGCTCGGTCCCTCCGGAATCCAGACTCAAGGAGCTACTGCTGCCCCCGCCCATGGTGGGGCTGAAGATGGGGGTGCTGGGGACAACTGCAGCGCTGACTGTTGCTGAGACACAGGAAAACCAGGAGGCAGGGACTGATGGTGCTGCGGTCCCTCAGAGAGCTGGTCCTCCCCTTCCGGCTGGGCCTTTCCCCACTGCTGCCTGTGCAACCCCTCCTCCATGCGGGAGCGAGGTCAGCCGGGAAGGAAGGACAGGGGAGGCACCCATGTGGCACATACCTGGCCGGGGAACCAGTTGGGCCCCCTCTGAGGGTGGCATGGTGAAGCCCGACTCCCAGATCGGAGAGTTCGCCCCGTAGATCTCCTCCTCCAGCATGGACAGGAACCTGTGGGGGGGCACGTTCCCCCTTTGCTCAGCACCTCCCTCTTTTCAGCCGCAGCAAGACGCAAAACACAGGCGCCCCATGCCCCCAAGATGCCTCCCTCCCGGGGTGCAGCCAGACACCAAAGGGCTAGAGGCAGGTGGTGATAGATGCTGCCCGAGTGGAGGTGGCCGCCACTTTCTGCCCAGGGAGAGGCACAGCCCGTCCTTAGAGCCCCTAATGGCAGAGAGAACTGGACAAACTAGCACAGTGACAGTGGGCACAGGCAGGGCCACCAGGTGCTGTGTGTCCGGCGGGGCACCAGGCCCCCCAGGCCTTGGCATCAAGACGGGACTCAGGAGCTACCCTCTCATGCCACCTCTCATTCCTACCTGGAGATGGGAAGGCACTGGATGGCCTGAGTTAGTGAGTAAAGGCTTCTTGAACTGGGTGGCCAAGAACCAGGCTTCAAATGAGAGAAAGAGGCCCTCCTTGGTGGCGCAGGGGGCTAAAGCGCTATGAATCTATTCCAGGCCCTGCAGCACGAGCTCCATCCCCGGCCAGGGAGCAGACCTCTCCTGGCTCCCTGCTGCTCCCCTCAGCAGTGTTTTTCAATAGATCCACCTGTTCTGTTCCCCACTCTCTCTATTGAGTCCTCTCACCCCCTGCACCTCTGGCCTATACCCTAGTTCTTGTATGCATAAATAAATAATAATAAAAAAAAGAGAGAGAGAGAGAAAGTTAAGACAAAACCCAGGAAAATTATATTACAGAGAACAAGTGCAGGGGTCTAAGCACTTCATCTCCCACGTAAGAGGTGTCTGGTTTCCGGGAGCACTGTGGTGGGAAGGATTCCAGGGCCATGTCCACGGAGACAATCAGTAATGGCTACTGGGTGTGGGTGGGGAATTGTAAACATGTGGGCCAGTACCTGCCACCGCCAGACTAGTACATGCACAGGAAATGCTACAACTTGTGTCTGGGCCACGGGCAAGACGCCCAGCCCCAGAAGGTTCAAGGAGGGAGAGGAGGGGCCAACCCAGGAAGCCTTCCTGGGCAAAAGAGGACAACCGGAGGGTTCGGGGCAATCCTGACGGGCCAGAGTGGGCCTTACTTGGGGAAGTGGGTGAGGATGAGGGTTCTCTTCTCGGGCACCAGCTTGTCCTTCTCCACCCGGAACTTCTCCAGCAGCTGCCGCCTGGTCACAGTGAAGATGGAGCGGAGGAGGCTTCGCCCAAAGACATGAGTGGTCTCGTAGCGGGGGAGGCTGTCGCAGCTTTGGGGCACGTGGCAGTAACAGAGCCACCTGGGGGAGCAGACAGGCGGGGAGAGGGGAAGCTGCTGAAGCCAGGGTGGCTTCCACGCCTGCCCCGTGCTGTCACTGGCCGGCCCTACCTGGTGTAGTTGACCTTGTAGGTAGCCACGTCCTCGGCCTGAGACCTCTGCCGAAACTGGGCAGGCGTCTCAAGCTTCCAGTAGTTAAGGCAGAGCAGGAACATCTTTGAGAGCTCGAACATCGTCTGCCGCTCCCGGGGAGCCAGGTGACTAAACTTGTACTGCACGAAGTTCAGCACACCCTGAAAGGGGCAGGAGTTGTACCAAACCCAAAAATGGGTGAGCAGCCAGGGAGGTGCTTTCTGAGGGCAGGACATGGTCCCCCCCACACTCCTAGGATCTCTAGGAAGAGGAACTAGAGCCTCGGCGCACCTCCACCCCACCCCAGGCCCACGTTGGTTTCATCAAACAGCATTTCTCCTGTTCTCAGTCTGAGGAAGATGGAGCAAAAAGGCTCCCCACTCCCTCAAGAGGCTCCCAATTCTCTTACCACTTTCCTCATCTCACCTGCTCAATATTAGGCTTCTCAAATGGGGGGCTGCCGAGAGACCCCTCCACTACAGGCCGGGTCATCTGCAGGATGCATTTCCGCAGGAGCTGGAGGAGGAAGGTGCTGAGGTCAGGGCTGCAAGCCCCACAATCCTCACCTCCTCCACCCCCTCACAGGAAGCTCACCTTGAAGAGGTAGAAATAGACCTGCTTGGTGTCCGTGTCCTCCTCCTTGTGAACAGACATGAACAGGTTTTCCACGTCCACCACCATCCCCAGCAGCCGGTTAATCTCATCCTCTGACACGTTCTCCAGGTGGGACACGTGGTCAGCTGAAGAAGGACAGGCGGCAGAGTTGGGGAGAAGGGATCACACGGCTTCCTGATGCTCTTCAGCACCAGGCAGACGCAAGCTCAGTCCTCCCAAATAGTGCGGCAGCAACCAGTTAACCGCTGGTCAGCCCCTGGATGGCCTTGGGTATCTTCTGGGCTGGCAGATTTTCTTTCTCCTCCTTTGGGGAACACACCCCTCAACCCAACCGTTGCTAGGAGGCAACTTCGGTTTTCCAGAGCTGAGGCTCAGTGGCACCTGTGTGAGCAGGACCCAGCTCCTGCCCTCCACTCCCACCCTGTCTCCCAGTGCACTAGTTACCTCACCTAAAGGGTGCTCACAGCTGCGGCACAGCTCGCTCAGGTTGGCAGCTGGTTGCTGTAGGTCCATGCGGGGTGCAGTGGGGGGTTTGGGGTTTTTCCAGCCATTACACTTGCAGGTTTCATTGGCCTGAAGGCAGAAAGTTCAGTCAATGACCCTTATACTCGGGGGGCAAAAAAGCGCTCCCCAATCCGTTTTGCTCCCGTTCCCAACCGGGCCCTAGGATGCCCCAAGCCCCGCCCCCTTTGCCCCAGACCCCGCCCCCACCTTGCAAGCCGAGAAGACCCCGAGCTTCTCGAGCTTCTTGGCGCGCGGCAGTCCTCGGACTTGCGCCTTCCTCTGGCTGGCGCGCTGCTGCTGGCTCAGGCCGGGTCGAGCCGGATCCCCCCCGCTTCCGGTCCCCCCACTTCCTACCCCAGGCCCCCCAGTCCCGGCGCTCCCGGCCGGGGTTGCAGCTGGGGCCGGGGCTGGTGCCGGAGTGGGAGTCGGAGTTGGGGCGGAAGCCGGACTGGGGGCAGGAGTCGGAGTTGGGGCGGGGGCTGGGGACTGAAGGGGCCGGGGCTGCGAGGCCGGGGCCGGGGTCGAGGCCTGGGAAGGTTCCGCCATGGCCCCCGCAGCGGAGAGCGGCGCGGCGCTCCCAGCCCTAGGGCCGCATGGGCAACCGGCGTACTGTGCGCAGGCGTCGCTGCACCGGAGCATGATGGGAGTTGTAGTCTTGCACGGTCGCTCCCTTAGCCTCCAGCTGCCAGACTTTTCTGTCCTGCGAGTAGGTCCCAAAGAGCCAAACAAGGCCCGGGGCGGCACCCAAGACTGACCTCTGCTCAGTTCTACTCCCTCTTGAAAGCTTCCGGGATAGTCTAGATTGCTGTCTTCATGGGTAGGCAAAAGCATACCAGGAAACAGGTTTATGTTGGGGGTAAGTTGTGGGCTGTGTCCACCTCTCACACCCGAGGTAAACGCCCAGCCGTCCCACGCATCGAATACAGAACGACAGCTGCACAGATGAAAGAGCGGCACTTCTAGTTCTTGACCTATGAAGTGGTCATGCAAATGTATTGTCATAATTCAGTTGTATCCTTTTTGTGTACTTCTCTGTATATACCTCCTACTTCGACATAAAGTTTATTATAAAAGCACTGCGTGCCAGAGACGTGGCCGTGATCATGCAGGAGGACACGAGCCTGTCCAGGTGTTTGGGAGCAACTCCTGCCCCATGCAGTGGGCACTGGGAGAGGAGTGGCCCTGGAGCCCAGCCCTGGGTCTGTTGTGGTGGACCAACCTGAGTCCAATGAAGTATGAAGGTGGGAAGACAAAGCGCTGCCCCCGCCCCAATCCCACGGATGAAGAAATGCTTCATTTCTTGAGCCTGGTGACTCCATTTGATCTCACTTGGTGCCAGGAGGGGCTCCAGAGTCAGGCTCTGCTTTTCCAGCCTTGTTCAGTGGGTCCAATTGAGTCACAGACCCTGGCAGCCTTTGGGTGAGGATCTGAGAAAAGGGCAAGAGCCTTCATAAAAGCAGTAGGAAGGCTAGGGTGCTGACCTGATCAGGGTAGGAGGATGTGCAAAGCACACCTGAATTCTGCCAAGGTGAACTTCCAGGAAGTCAAGGGGGCCCAGCAGAATGGTGGAGCCAAACTGCAAAGGGCCTTTGAGCAGTGAGCATCTGGCTCTGGGCATCTGAGCACCATGCCCACAGCCTAGTGCCCTCGAACAGCAGTTGCTCACTCAGCAATGTTTTCTCCAGGAGCCAGGTGCACACAGGCATCCCAGCCTGCATTTGCTGAATAGAACCAGGAGGCCTTGCTCCCAGTGTGTCTGCTCAGGGAAGACCTGCCAGTTGCCAGGGATGATGTCCTTGTTGAGACTGATCACCCACAGCTTCACCTTGAGTAGCCGCTGGTACGAGAGGTCAGTCAGTAGCTGATGGTGATGGGCCAGTGGTGACTGGAAGGTTGCAACTGGATGGGGCCTACTTGGTGGGACCTAAGATTCACCAGGAGATGTAACTACCACCCAACCTGGGTCCTGCTGCCTGACCCCCTCTCGCCAGATCTACATGCAAAGCTAATGCCAGATGCTGCCTCCTCCATAGCACACAGCTGGAGCAGGCTGCAGCAGCATTGGTGTCTGTGGTCTTTTCTAGGTTTGGGGTAGAAGTGGGATATAAAAAGGTCAAGTGGGGACCCCTGGCAGCAGGAAAGGCCCATCAGGGTGGTGGGCCATCAAGAACCAAGTCTACCTGGCCCCGGGGGAAGCTGGCGGTGGCAATGTCACCTGGCCCACCTCGGCCCACTGCCCATGGCAGCAGCTCCAGCAGAGGGCCAGTTTGCATCATGCCCCAGAACCACAGAGGGCCCTGAGAGATTAGGACCAGATGACATGCATTTGGCACAGGGCTGCAGGGGCTGACAGGTAAGGAAGGCCTGGTGGTGCAGCCCTGGCCTGTCCAGGTTCCAGGCGGCATCAGTGCTCCTACTTCCTCAGGGTTCTGGTACAGAGTAACCAAAACGTCAAAGGACGCTTGATGTTTCTGACCCCCATTATTTTCAAAGACAGACTGTGTATCACGGAGGCGCCTCAAAGCTGGGGAGGTTCAGCCCCCGGCTGGTAGTACACCACCCCACTCCATTAAAGCCATTAACAGTGAAGGCCTCTTTCTCTTTGTTATCATGACCACCAACATCTCCTCATGGGGGGGTTGGGGAGTAGAGAAGGAAGAGAGGTGCTTTTGTTTAACAAGATTTAGTGATTTGCTTTCAGTTAACTTCAAGTGAGCTAGAGAGGGTATGGTCTGCTAACTCTGCCAAAGAGAGACAAGGAAGACAAGCTAGAGGTCGATCGATCGGCTGACTATATTGACAAGATACTGATTGGTTACATGTTGAAGAAAACATACAATACAAAATACAGAAAAAGTTGGTTCCACCCCTCCCGATCCCCCCTCACCCACCCCTCCCCAAATACTTCTCATCGTGATTTGGTCAGAACAGGGCTCAGAGCCAGAGGTCAGGGTGACCTAGGGTGAGGGGGCAGGGGCGGGTTGTGGGCGATGAGTTCATGGCTGTCACGATAATGCTGTGGTGATGCTGTGGTTTCTCTTCAGCTGTGAGTCAGGGCTGGGGGTTTGGGGTCTGCAGCCTGGTGACGGTCAGCTGAAGAAAAGCTCTCCCTTCCAGAACCCCTAAGGCCTGCCCCACTGTCAAAACCAAGCCCACTCCAAATACAGTCAGGATAAGATGCTCTTGCTGATCGCTAACCAGCGAGCGGAAAGGAAGGGTAACTGCTCTACCCTTCCAAGACTCAAGGATGGGGGCACACTACCAGCAAAGGAAGAGTGGGAGAGCAGTAGAAAGGGCAGGAAGTGGGAAGAGCAGATCATATATATTAAAAAAGTGACTTAAGACTTAAAATTGAATTAGTATTGTACAGAAAGGTGCAGGTGGAATAATTACTCCACCCTATGAGCAAAATTATGTGAAGAAATCATGGTGGACCGCTCCCCCTGCACCCCCACCCCTGGCGGTGGCCCGAGTCGTTAAGTACGATTGGTTAGAGTGGGTTCCAGTCGCTCGCTGGCTCGCTAGCTCGGGCGCGCTGTGGGCGGAGAAGGCGGCGCGGGCGGGGAGGGCTCAGTTGCCGCAGCACTGGCTCCGGCTGGCTGGGCTGTTCTCCTGCAGATCCACACCTCGGTTCCGGCCGGGAGCACCAGCTGCGTTCTGGGGCTCATTCTTGGGAAGCTTCTTCGCTGTTTGGGAGAGGAGGGGGAAATGTGCTTGTGAGAGTACCCCAGTATGCTCTCCCAAATCCACTTGAGCAGAATCTGGCCTTGCCCCCAGATCACTGAGAACGAACATCCTGAGGGTTTCGGAGTGCCTGGTGCACGCTGAGGAGTACCGAGGCAGGGGAGGTTAAGTGACTAGCCCAAGAGCACATCATTGCTAAGATGCAGCGCCAGAATTCAAACCCAGGGAGAATGACTGCCTGGCCAGCTGAGGCCCCACACCCTAATGTGTGGGTAGGGGATGTGATGGTGGTTGTGGCAAGCTAAAGGGTTAGGAAATGAAAGGTTGAGACCTTGACTCAGGCTTTAGAGACTTCTGGGGATCAGATGAAGAAAACACTTATGAAAACAAATTTAAAATGGTGGAAGCTGTGTTGGTGAAGGGAGCCCAGAGACTGATCGCAGAACAGCTGGCAAGTAATACAGGCCCCTAGTCAGAGGACGGGGACAAGAAGAGGCGACGTACCTATTGCCATGAAAATTTCATTCACGTTCATTGCGGTCTTTGCTGATGTCTCCATGAACAGCAAACTATTGTCATCTGCATAGGCTTGTGCTTCCTGGTTTGGATGGAGGTGAGAGAGTGGGCGGGAGGGAAATGTTGACAGCTGGCAGGGGTTGGGGCCCAGAACCCACACCTTCCCTGATCATGTAATGGACAGCATGCAGAGGCTTCGGGTCAAGGGTCCCCGCCCCCCCAAAACCCCTGCACCACACCCCCGGCTCCCTTCACATCGAGCACCCCCTCAGCTCACAGACATTGGAAGATGTTGACTTGGGTCTCCCTAAGACCATCCTGCCTCCCTGCTCTTCAAGATCACTAGGCTAGGAAATACTTCTAGAAAGTTAGCCTATAAATCCACCTGCACGTTTGGACAAAAGTGGGTAAATACATGGCTGTCAACTGCAGCACCGCTTCCAGTCTTGTCACACATGAGCTGGCAGCCCATCAGTAGAGGACTGGTAGGAAGTACGTGACGCACAGGACACGCAGGGCAGGCCCCACCTATGCACACAGCGGTCAGACGTGGTTGTATTTCTGGAAAGACCAGGATCAGAGCCTTACATCTCATATTTCTGAGAGTGCTTAAAATTTACTATGGGTGGCCCTCCCTGGTGGCGCAGCGGGTTAAAGCACAGCATGAAGAAGCTTAAACCACTTCCGCATGAGTTCAATTCCCGCCTGCCCTGGAGGAGCGCCACATGGCGAGGCAGACTGCTCCTGACCTGGCCGCTGCTCCCCTCAGCAGTATATTTTGTCGATCTGCCTGTTCTGTTCCCCTCTCTGTCTCTGGTGAATCCTCTCACCCTCCGTGTCTCTGGCCTGTACCCAGTTCTATATGAATAAATAAATCAATCTTTAAAATTTACCATGGGCAAGTATTACAGGAAAAAAAGTATTTCTTTTCCAGTAAGTTTCCTAAAGCCAGTTTACAGAAAAAAACAAGCAGATGCTTCAGCCACCACGCACATATCCTACCGCCAAAGAACAAGGATACAGGCGCTCATTTCTTTCATGTTGATGCCTTGAGTCTGAGAGGACAGCAAATCAGTCCCCCTGCTGCCTCCCAACAGGGCCCTTCCCTGAGCTAGCGAGCCACTGAGGGAGTGAGGAGGGGGCAAGTGGGGCTGAGTCCTGTCCATGCCCACCTGGAATTCCACGGCTCTCTTGCTGGCCAAGTCCGCCTTGTTACCCGCGAGTGCGATGACGATGTTGGGGCTGGCCTGCCTCTGTAACTCCTTCACCCAATTCTTGGCCCGTGCAAATGTATCCTGGGAGACAGGGTCAGAACATCAAGGGGCCATTCTGTCCAGGACCACCCACTAGAGAAGCTTAAGCCAGCAGAGCCAAGGTGCCTAAAGATGTCACCACCCAAAGGATTCTGGTGAGACAACCCCTGAGCCACAGCCGAACTCTGCCCACACCCCATCCAAAAATGGAGGGTTGAGAATAAGGGAAAATCTTTTACTGTGTTGGTGATGTCATAGACCACGATGGCAGCCTGGGCCCCCCGATAGTACATGGGGGCCAGACTGTGATATCGCTCCTGTCCAGCTGTGTCCCAGATCTCAAACTTGACTGTTGTGTCGTCCAAGCAGACGGTCTGTGTGAGGAAGGCCGCTGTAAGAGGCAAAGTGGTGTCACCAGTAAGGAGGAGCCAGAGAAGTCTCCCTTCATGCCACAACCAGGCCCCGGCACTCAGAAGCCTTCTGCTGAGAGGGACGCACACCCCTCCCCACCCCCACTCCCCAGCAGCCAGAGCAGGCAGCAGCAGGGCGACTGGAGGTTGTGTTTTTGTGCATGTCAGTGGGGATGGGGAGGGCACAGGCTTTGCAGGCCTGCACTGGGTGAGGGCAGGAGGACAAGGGCAGCCTGCTGCTCTTGAGCCATCTCAGATCACTCCGAAAATGAATGCAGCCAGGGGCAGGAGAGGGAAGGCCTGGAAGTGACCCCGAGCCTGGAAGGGTGGGCATGCGCTCCTCCACCTTCCCCTCAGGGAGCAGCTGAAGCCTCACTAGTCCCTCAGTTTGCTCCAGCCCCGAGGTGTCCCTGCCTTCGGTTTCCTGAGGACATCCTCACACACTTAGTTATGCTGGGGACGCCTGAAAGTACACGCTGTTCCACTGCCAGGCGGAGGCGGGGCGGCCAGTTCCCTAGCCGCCCCTGACACCTCCAGGCACGCTAACTGGCTGTCACCCCAGCTCTGCCCTAGACTCATTCCTGACTGGCCATCCTATGGCTTGACCTTCAGGGAACACAGTGACCCTACCTCTGGCAAGAGGAGGAGTGAAGCTTCATGGGAGGAAGTCTAGGGCTGGGAGAGGCAGGTGGGTGTCCCCTCTGCCCGGGGCCCAGCAAGGATCCCAGAAAAGCTGGTGTGGAAAGCCTGCTTTCCTCATCTGCTCTCCACCCGAGGGGCCAGGGCTCTGCCTCACTTCCCCTCTCCAGCTCCTGACTGAGTGCTGAGGAGGCAGCAGGAGACTGCTGACACGGCCCATTTTGTTTCCAGCTGCCTGGAAACCTCCAACCAAGCAGCTAGAGAGGGTGAATGAGGCCCAGGGTTGGCCTGGACCCCTCGAGGTTTATACTAGCCACTGAGTCAGGGGGCTAAGTATAGACCCTCACATCCTAAATGCTGACCCCTGGGAAACTGGTGACAGGCCCCAAGCTCCAGAAAGGTCCGCTTCAGAAATGCCTGCCCATCATCAGGCCACTTCCCCATTCTGGAAAGTGAGAGTGGCCAGGCCAGAAGCACTACCTGGCGTAGTAAGAAGGCCCTCAGAGCCCAGGTCCATAGGAGGGTTGGCGGCAAGGCCACTCAAATAATGAAGTGGCAGAACCAGGAGAGAAAGGCCGTTTTCAACTCCTGGCTATTGCCAGGGCCGTGCTCACCAGGACTCCAACAGGCTGACCAGCTGTGGGCCAGCCTGGAGCCCAGATGAGGAAGAGGTGCTGCTTCCCCAGGTGTGGACAGCCTCACTGGGCAGGCAGCTCCCTTCTCCTCAAGGCCAAGACACTTGGTGACCTCCCAGAGATCACCCCGCACACTTATGCCCACTCACCTCCAATTGTGCTCTCCTGGTACTCATGAAACTGGCCCTTGACAAAGCGGAGGACGAGGCTGGACTTGCCCACCGCAGACTCCCCCAGCAGGACCAGCTTAAACTGACAGATCTTGTTCCCTGATGCTGGTCCATTGGGTCTCGCTGCACCTCCCCGACCCGCCATGGCCCTTCCCGCTGTCGAGGTACCAGTGAGCGTGGGGTGGGGCCGGCGCTACGCAGAGGCACTTAGTGGGGAGGGGGCCTCCAACTGCGAGAGAACAACGAGAAGTACGGGTTAGTTCAGAGATGGCCGCCTGGCGACCAGGCTGGCTGCCCCCCTTCACCCCTGCCCCCGGGTCAGAAGCACCTGAACCAGGCCCTTCTGACCAGGCCGTGCGAGTCACGGATCCACTCCACAAACTTCTGAAAGGAAAGAGGAAAGTGGTCTCCCACCTTTGGGTGCTGAGTGGACACACTGCTTCCCAACCATGTATGTCCGCGTATAGACAAGCACACCCAGGACAAGGGCGGACAGCCTGGTGACAGTTCAGTCCGCAAACCACCACCACGCCTCCCAGAAGACACTGGGACCTAGGTCAGCAAACACCACACTGGAGCTCGGGCTCCAGCCGCCTCTGCAGCGCCAGAGCCGATGGCGAGGCCGATGCTGGCACCACAGGCACAGCTCAGACCTGGCACCACTGGCACAGCTCAGACCAGATGCTTGGCCTCCCTCAGGGGCATTGAAGGGCCTGGGCAGTCCACGTCGTTATCAAAATAGCTATTTTCTTCTTGCAGGAGCGACATACTTGCTCAGTCTGAGGCCTCACTGTACCCTGGAATCAAAGCCTCACTTCACGCCCCATCCTGAGCTTCTCCCCCCCCCCCCCCATTCTCAGTTTTGATGGGCCAGAAGTCTCACACACATTAAAAAACAAAACACACAGCAATGCCAGTGCTCTGCTGGTGGTCAGAACGGCTGCCAGGTTTCCCTTTTAAATAGAGACCTCAGTTCCATTCTCTGCTGGCACAGGCACAGGGTGACGCAGGGAGAGAACAGGGGGAGTATGGGTGGGCGGAGCCAGACATGGGACACCCAGACCCGCACCCCAACAGGCGGTGTTCCGGCACTGACATCTTAGTCACTAGGAGTGTGACAGCTTGGAGGACAAGCTTGTCCCCGAGATTTTGGAGCTGCAAAGGATGGGGAGCTGGTGTGCGGGAGCCGCTTACTGGGCGCACGTGGGCACTCGGTGCTGCACGCTCAGTGGGAGCCTGATGGGGGAGAGAGCGGTTTGGACAGGCCACCCTTTGAGTGGCTGCATTCTGTAAGGAGGGGTCTTAGGAGGCAGAGCTCCGCAGAGGGCTGCTGCCCCCGAGCAAGGGGAGTGTGTTCCCTAAGGGTCAAAGTCAGTGCACAAAACAGGGACTGTGGGTGGGAAGCCAGCGGACAGCAAAGGGCTCGCTTTGTTCAACCCAGATCGTTTTTCACATCCAAGTTCTCCCAGCAACTTGTTTAAAAAGTGAGCTTCAGGAAGAATGATTCACTAACCCCAGGAACAAGTTTCCTTTCTGGACAGCACCAAAGGAAAAGGGGTTTAAATGGAGGCCACCTCTTCCCCAAAATTACAGGAAGAAGTCGGGGTGGGGGGGTAATCTCAACTAGTGACAAGAAAAGCAATTTATGAAATCGCCTATAATTTCGGATGCTCTTTCATCTGAGGAGCGCTGAGCAGAGCAGCCTTGGGTCAGGCCTCTGCTCCCCGCCTCGCTGCGCTGCCATCCTCCAGGTCGGGTGTGCGCCGGGCGCTCAGGTGCTTACTAAGTCAAGTGCATTTTAGAGGCAGCTGACGTGCCCCGAGCAGCTGTGCGATTCTCATCTGTCAGTTTTCAAACAATCTCCAGTTCTCGCAGGTCAACAGCCCACTCCTCAGGTAGCAAACGCCCTGCTCAAGGCCACCTGCACGGACACAAACTCAGGGCCTTGCTGTCATTCTTCATTCCCCCTGCCTGGGCAGGAAAGATGGAGGTGATGCCCCCCCCCCACCTTTCTTTGGTTGTGGGTGAAGGAAACTCTTGGTAGCAGCAGCTTTGCTTGCCCAGCAAGGTCTGGCTCCAGTGACAGCGACAGACCCTGCACTGCAGAGTCCTCCCGACCCGGGGAGAGCCACCGAGGCCAGGTCAGAGGACAGCGCAGAGGGAAACCACAGAGGGGTTACTAGTTGGTTGTCACCATGGACCCCCCGGACAGAGTGTGGCTGAGGCGTTAGAAGAAGGGGTGCAGAAGAGTGGGGGAGGGAGCAGAGTACCAAGTTTCGGATTCCCAAAGCAGCTATGGGGGTGGGGGTGAGTGAAGAAAAATAGAGGTAACATTTGAGTCTTATCCCTGCCAAACTAGCCCAGTCGGGACTTGATATTTTAACGAGCCAGGAGAGCCAGGAACATGCGCCCAGTTGCTGACAGTCTGCCATCGGAGTCACGCGTGCAGCCAAACCCTGTGGAGCGAGGAGGGCCCGGCCTGCCGTTCTTCCAAACACGGAGGTGCTCCGTCTGGCACAAACTGGCTGGGGAAGGTCTGCCTGGACGCTGGTGCGGCCTTCCAGAGATAGCTAGTAGGCACATGGCACTTTTTATGACCTGCCGCCCCGTGGTTTTGCCACCTCCCCTCATGATCACGTGAAAACAGGTATTGAACCTTCCCACAATAAGGCAGAGAGGACGCTGGTTTTGCCATGAAGGGCTCATGGAGACACAGGAGTGTCTAAGATAGTTGCAGGCCAGCCCCAGAGCCCCAGGAATTTTACACATACATCCCCACCCCTCAAGATTGGGAAACCTTTATGTCAGGTGGTAAAGGTGAAGTCATGACTGAGCTGGCCTGCTGCCTGGAGTAGGCATCCTCACAGAGGGATCTTTCCTCTGAGCCAGGGCAGGAATGACCCACAGGTGCAGTCAGGTGCTACAGTTAGAAAGAAACATGGCACCATAAAAGTCTTTTTTTTTCACATGAAAAGCGGTCTCTTGAAGAGCTAAAGCCGAAACCAAATTTCTTATGCGGTACAGAATGGGCCAAAAGAATGTCTTTAATGCTAGTTTCAGCAACATCAAAAAACAAACAAAAAAACACCGCACTACAGGTAGGCTAGAGCTCCTCTGGGGTATTTTCCTGCTGCTGGAATGGGCAGACTTCAGACCCGTGGTCAAGGCTTTCCTTGCCAAGATGAGGTCCCCACCCCCCTCCAAACCAGAGCCTGGTCTGTCTGAAGACTGTGAAGAACGAGTGAGTGCGCACCCCAACCTCACCAGACACAGGACATTGAGCAAAGGCAAGGGCCGGGGGTGGGGGAAGAGAGAAGGGCACCTGATGCGTTTTCCCGCAAAGTGAATGAAAGGGCCAAAGGGCCCAAGCTTCTAGACACTTGCACAGGTGACAGGCATGAAGGGCGCGAGCCCAGCCACAAGGGTGGGCGAGAAGCGGGAGGAAAGGGCAGAGCCTGCTCTTTGCTCCTCCCTCTGCTCTGGACACTACAGGTCCGTGGGTCTCAAGCTTCTCCCATCAGAATCACTCAGAGAAAGCAGCTCTGACCAACTGAACCAGACCCTCCTGAGGGGGAGTCCAGAAACCAAGGTGTTTAACCTAAGTTCCCCAAGTCACTCTGGACAGTGCTTTAAGTATGAGCGACACCCTTGCTACAGGAAGGAGGGAGGAATGCAGGAGACAGACAGGCACCCCAGATGAGCACTGTGGGGATACAGGTGTGTCAGAGAGCGCTGGGCCTGAGTCTTTGCTCCATCCTGAAGCTTCTGAAGATGTGCTACTGGACTGTCGACCCTCTCCAGCCCCCGTCTGAAATGTTCACCTTTCTCTTCTCTAATCCATGAAGTCACCCACTTCATACTCATGGTCCTTCCTGTAAAAGGCTGAGCAATTCCAGCAGATGGGTGTCTCTCACGCTTCCTGTTTGCTTCAGAAGACTTCCTCTAGCTGACAGTCTGGATAGTGAGCTGATTAGGGAAACCAATCAGACTCTGCTGACCAGAGGCTGGGCCAAGGCTGCTCACTCAAGGTTAAGTTAGCTGGGGCGGGAGGGAGGTGGAGAACCGGGTGACCCCATCCCGAGCCCCACGGAGGTGGTTCTGGCCAGCGACTCTCCAGCTGCACTTTACTGTGGACATTAACATTCCTTAATATTTACCACCCCAAGACTTGGGCAAGAGAAGACTTCCTTCAGCAGAAGCAATTTGTTAGCTTGCAGAAAATGAAGCATGGGACACAGGGGAGAGGTCATGAGGCCCAAAGGCTAAGGTGGACAGCATAAAAGAGCTCGTGTCAGCTGGCAGGCACTTTACCCCCAGATTCAAGAACACCGCTCTTCCTAAATTCACGACCGCAGGGCACATGCGCAGCAGGGTTACCCAGACACGAGCTGGCGGCTGACCCAGAGCACAGAAGAACCTGACGCCACATGAGCCACGGAGGTGTCCACTCGCCCTACCCCAGCAGGACAAGCAGGTTAGGTCTCGGCAGACCTGGTTAAAGCCAGGCCCCAACATTTATTATCTGTGTGACCTTGACCAACTCATACAAGGGCCATTGTCAGCTCCGGCCCTTATCTCGCGGAGGCTTGTATTTAACAAGAGGCATGGTGTCCGCAGCACCCTCAGACTGCAGGGCGACGCCCCACAAGTGGCAGGGGCCTCACCCACCGTTCTGAGAGGCCACCCGACTGTCTCCCTGTCCAGCTCGCTGTCCCAGCTACGGAGGGGCTTGAACACCCCGTGCTGCCTGTCCGACAGAGAGGAGACGAAGGCAAGCGAGCTGGCAGGGCGAGGGCCAGCTGGTGGTGGAGCCTGTGCCGGACTCAGAACTCCCACAGGCTCCCCCAGAGACAGAAAACCAAAGAATATTAACGATGTCACCACATACACTAGCGGAACATGACTTTGAACTGTGGAAAATGCGTTTGGATCAAATTTGAAAAACACACTCACGCTGCTGTTCTATGTCCTGATTTGGGACGGAGCTATTTGGAGGTCTACAAATCTACAAATGTGAACCCTCAGGGCTACCTAAGACTTCTGTGCTTTTCTACAGTAGTTAGACTTCAATATAAAGGTTGGAAATGCTGCTGGCATAGAAGTTTGCAAACAACAATGAGAAATTAAACTTAGAAGTGCTATGATACCAATCTGGCTCCCCTGTGTATGAGATACTTTCTGTCTCCTCTTTAGTATAAATACAGAATCACAAAGGCTATCAAAAGACGA